AAGTTTACTTCGTCGTAGTACGTGTAGTATAGTGTGTATATATATATATATATATATATATATATATATATACCCTGGATCATGATGTCACTGCCGGATGGCTTTGGATTGCGTTATTGTAATTTTCGTACGTTTGTTATACATTTTCTGCAGGCGAGAGCTTAATTAATTAGTCGTGGTACTGCTTTACTACACAGACGAACCAGTTCTTGAATTGTTTAGCAATTAATTGTTACTTCATTGTGAACCACAGCGACACGAAACTGGGAGTATAACCTCTTACTGCTAAATGTACTGAACACGCGGGTTGATGACGTCATTACGTGGTATCGATTTGTATTGTTTTGATTACAAAAAGACAGATAGAAAGAAAAACAAACAATTGAAATAGTATCCAAGCTCTGTAAAGCTGTGAGCGTATAACCACTTACTGCTAAATTTTCTGAACACGCACGTTGATGACGTCATTACAGTGGTATCGATTTGTATTGTTTCGAGTATAAAATGACAGAGTGAAAGGTAGCAAAAACTATTGAAATAGTATCAGTTTGCTTGAATGCATCTTCATGTTGATCAATAAAGTAAAAAAAAACATTTGTTGTATTCAACAGTCAGAAGCCTTCTTAGCTGCATAAGGTAGTTGAAAGGTGAATCACTTACTGTTAAGTGAACATTTTATATTTTGAAATAAATACATAATATTAGTTATACTTAATACTCCAATAATTAGAAAATGAATATAAGTAACAGAACACTCAACTCTTCCATGACCACTGAGAACATGAATTTGCAAAAAGACACATGTAAAGACAGTAACTCAGGATATGATCACACAACATAACATTAATATTCATGGTTAACCCTAAAATTAAGCACGCTTTTTTTTTAAACTATTTATGCACCAAATTGCTTTTGGGTTCACAGCCTTGTTGGTTACAGGGGGTCCTTAATAACATAAGGTGGCCATGAACTTGGAAAAGTCGTATAATAAATAAAAAGAAAGGACTAAAATATCAGAGAAATGTGCCCTATATTTATCTCTGAACATACATGTGCACATGCTACTTTGGTATGCCACTTATTCGTCTATGTTAACATATTCTTGGCCAGTCACTCCACATTATTTTGTCTGGTGATAATTAGGTAACTCATTGTATCTGATAATAGATTAGGTCAAATCACACACTATGACTTCTTATACAATACCTTTTTTCCATTAGTGTTCAAAACATAACATATTCCTTTTTTTTTCAGTAGTTAGAACATTGATAATCACACAGTATGACACTTTTTTGCACACCACAAGAATACATATATTTTTTAGTATTCAAAACATAGTGACAGATTAAAACATTCCTCTTAATTATTAGTTTATAGGATATTTATATGGAATATATTTGAATTAAATTTATCACAATCCTTTTAGCAGTGTCAGCATAACATTTTGTTGTTTTTTTGACCAGAAGATTAAATGTAAGATCAGAAGGAATTTGTTTAGTTTTCTTATTGAAGAATTTTTTTGTTGTGGGAAGTTAAAAAAAAGTGGGTGTGATGTTGGAGTGGATATTATCATTTGGTACTGTAGTTCATGTTTCCTTGTTTGACTTGGGAGATGTTTATTACATCTAAACTACTCATATAAGTGCTGCCATGCAATGTTTCAACTCTTTACGTACAGTATGTCATCAACTCATCATCAAGCATAATAAAATAATGAAAAGTGGACACAATAGAAAATAAAACATCAAAAAGATATTGTAATCATGTGAAGCAAGAACAAAAGGAGAGTTTACCAACAATATTATTGACTGTCTAGAAATACTGTCAATGGAGGAGAGGAAATAAAATTTAAAACATTTAATTATTTAAATAACCATTAGTATTGGTTATACTATCTAATATATCAGGTGCTGCCATTACTTTTGAATTTTATTCTTTATTATTATACCTTTATTATAGATTGTTTTGTATTATTAGCTTAATATGGGTATTTAGCACTAACCTAAATCACCTAAGCCGTGTCACTCTTGTGAGATATTGTTGGGATTACAATTGAAAATACTAACAGTGAGGGCACCAATTAATGAAACAACATATTCCACTCTGTATTAGTAGAAGCATAAACGTTTATATAATTAGCTACACTGATTGCCAGGGTGATTTTTAGTTTTGTTTTATAGATTGCTCTGATCATAAGCTAATACTAATTCTGTTTATAAAATTATTTATCAGAAGACCATTTTATCAAAAAAGTTGCTTTAAAATAAGTGTATAATAAGACTGTTATATTTAACATAGGGGAGATTTACCCAGTTTTGTTTGATCAAGTTTAGTCGCCCAGCAATGCAAGAGTTGGTGGTGGGTGCTGTTGTAGTTGCTTTTCCTCTAGTCTGTCAGTTGAAAATCAGGGACAGCTGGTCCAGATAGCCTTTGAGTTGCTTTTGCATGAATGTCCAGCGGAAAAAAAAGTATTAAAAAGATAAGGTTCTCACTGGAAAGTGATGCAGTAAATTATATGCATAGTTTTATGTGTTGCTAAAATTTCTTATGTATAAGCTTCAAATTACACACTTATGAATCATAGTTCAGTCTTTAGTTTCAATTTGAGAAACTAATTTTTTTTTCCATCTGGGAACCATTTATGGATTTTTAACAGTCATTCTTCAAACTGCTGCATATAAATAGCACCAGCTACCTCAAAACTGTTGGAATGAGGTTGCTGCCCCCTTATTCATGAGTAGGATATATTCTAACTTTTTTTTTTTTCTTATAATGAAAAACTGAAAAAAATACAAAGTAGGCTATATATCAAATTCTAAAATGTACGTATACAATATATTTTGAAACAATTTTGCTGTAAACCATAATTTTACAAAAATTGTAAGATTAAGTTTAAGTTACAATAATTTTATATGTTTTATTATATATATATATTTCTTTATGGTCATAGTCATCTGTAACTTAAATGTCAATTTTTATATTAGTATTTGTGAAATATTAGGAAGTTAAAACATTTAATTGTTACAGTAAGGTACAGATGTTTTAATTGAAAAAAAATAAAAACTAGACATTTGTAAGAATAACTGTCAGGAAATAGAGGATGTTCGCAAGGGCATTTTTACTGACTGATGAAGTAATTTATAGACTTCAACAGGTATGCTTATTCTTCACATAAAATTTAATCTTGTGGACTTGATTACATTTTGCTTTAATTTTTAAGGTGCCCAGAATTATTATTTTTTTCTACAAATAGCATTAGTTATATATAATATAAAATGTTAAGTAGTATGCAATGACCTAATGATTAATATCAATAACATAAATGAAACCATATACTCAAAATGAAAAAGATAGTCATATGGAAACATGACTGTACAATGTAAAAGGCCAGCTAAAAATCCTTAACATAAAATAAAAACGAATGTGAATAGGTCATCTAGACTAGTTTCACAAATAATCGGGTATCCTCAGCATATATAAGGGAATGTTTAAAACCAGCACAATAAATTATATGGTAAAAGAAAAAAAAGTCCAGGAGTTACTATACAAATCTCCAATAAGTAAAACCAGGAAGACTATAACATGTGTATTAGAGTTATTATAGAACTCATTATAATGTCCAACTGTGGTTAGATGTAACAGTTCTGTACAAGCCTTCTCGCACCTTTATTCTTGAGCTTGTAAAACTTCTTGTTGACTGTGAAAACAGTGTACAATCCAAGTTTAAGAAAACATTTACCAAATTTTACTCATATGTGTGCATTGGCAACCCCTTTATGTTTTGTATATAGTTTGGATCTGAACTTACTGTTAAATGCCATCTTGAGTTTTTCATTAGTATTTATTAAAGTTACTTTTTTCATTTGGTGTTATATAGAGAGTGCTCAAAAATGTCTTCTGTTGCAGTACAATTGTTCCATTGGGTTTTTTTTTTTCAAGTAAAGCATTATTCTCCTTCATAATCATAATGCATGAATTACATAAAATCTTCTGAATAATAGTGTCAAGTTATCTGCCAGTGCTCAAGTTAAATCAGGACCTTTATGTTTTAGAATATAAAGATTGCTTTTTTACTGTCAAGCAGAAAATGTATTTAAATTTTCAGTTATTTATAATTCTAAACATAGAAACGTATGTTAATATTTTCAGCCAAAGAATATTATTTCTTATTTTTTAATACCTTTGTAACTTTAGTTAGGACGATGTTTAGGGCGATCTTCAGATAAGTAACTTAAATAACCCATTATTTTTTGGTCATGTAAATTGAGATATGTCAAAGTTTATGTATTTAATTTGCTGTTTTGTGTTTACCGCAGGTTGTACCAAACGATCGATATCAAAAAACCGTAGCAGGTTATTTTCGACTGGATTCTCACCCCTCCGTCAATCAGATAGAACATGTATTGATTGGTGAAACCAAAAGTTATGTCATTTTCCGGCGCTCGTACGGAGATCTGCATTCGTATGTTCGTAATAAACGTCGCCTTCGAGAACAAGAAGCTTTACGACTTTTTCGCCAGGTGGTGCTGGCAGTTCAGGCCTGTCACGAGGCTGGCGTTATACTGCGAGATCTTAAACTTCGAAAATTCGTCTTTAAGGACCCTGAAAGGTATTAGTGTTAGAAATATTCATACATTTGTTTTATTTTATATCGGTTCCATCTTACTTTTTATCTTGACCCTAAATAACTTTGAAGAATAAAACTGTGACGAATTTCTGTGAAGTCATTTACTGATATTTAAAAGTTGGTTATTTTGTCATTATACTGAAATAGAAATGAAAGCTTTTGATTACGTGTCTTTAGAATAACGTGTTTGTAATTAGTAAAGATCATCCACCAGTAACGGTATGTTGTTTGTGTAAATTTAGTTAATGTACAAATATACTGTATGTTGAGTACCCCGTTATATGTTAACATTCTGTACAATTCTCGTTATTTTCCCACAAGGTATTTACCTTATACATTGCTATACATTTACTTTGAGACTAGTAATGTGATTTGTGTTAAATATTAGGAACTTAGCCTTCGTCTCAACGAATGTATTTAGTTCCTTAGTGTAGTTATGATATGAACAGCAAAACAGTTTGAATACTGGTGTTGATATCATCATAGGAATGTCATTAAAAAAAATCACCTTATCCGGTACGTCTCTTCCGTGGATCAGCTAGATATGTTAATTTCCAAAAGAGCTTAAATCCTAAATCATCACCCGGTTTATCAGCTTCAAATCAATATTCACTTCACAAAACAGGTAAAGAATAATCGGAAGCTGTGATATTATAGTTATGACAAGGCAACACTGCTGATGTAATAACAGACATACCCACGTTCATTACTATTTATATAAGCGCCCTGATGATCAATTAAGTGATATGAAATGCAAATGATTGGCCATTCAACCTATGCTCTCTCTCTCTCTCTATATATATATATATATACGCACACGTGTGTATCTTGTAATCTTGTCTCGGTTGATTCACTTAGTTTGGAGATCATTTGGACGAATGAAAGCCGCCAGTTACAGTAGGCTCATGCAAATTGGTTAAATTCTGTCAAAGTGGAACTGCTTTCAAATCAACGGTATATACAATTGCTCGGACACATGACAAGACTGGTCACGACCGTTGTCTGTTGATTCTGGCTCGCCGCAAGATAAATGAAGTGGACTTGGAACTGAATGACGTGTCGGTGTATAGACAGTTAGAAATAAACTTCATACGGCTGGTCTGTATTCCAGACAGTAAGGCGTATTCCACCTATAGTAAGGCAATAAGTTCAGTGAACCAACGGCGTGTGGAGCAATTCATACAGAAATATGACGCATTTAGCAGTGGTGGAAATATATAGTGCGGACAAGAAACAGCTATGGTGGAGGGACCTACCTATACATGCTATAGAATGATAATACCGTTAACGCTACACCTTACAATGACCACATTCTACGTCATTTTGTGTTTCAATATGGTGGTGCAGTTGACCCAGACTTAACTATATTGTTGTGGCAAAAAGGTTCAAATATCAATAAATCTAACGATAAGTGATCTGTGAGATAAATTTAGTTAGAATTCCTTCCATATACATACTTTCCCTCACTATCATAAATAACCTAATTAGATAAAACATGTGGGTGAAGGACAATGCCAATGAAATAAGAAAGAGTAAACTGACATCTCTTTTAAAAGCGTTCAGTTTGAGACGTATATTCATACAAAAAGGGTCATATTATTATCATAAATAATAAAAGTTCTATGAGATCTTTACCTCAGGGGGAAAAAATCGATAAAACGTTCAGATATTTGGCTTTTTATACCTTTTACATTTTGACCACACTTGTATATTATGGTACTAAATAGCTTTGAGGCACTGTATATGTTAAATAAATTTTCGTTTTTTATATAATTACTTTTAGAAAATTATGCCTGTTGTAGTATAACTCCTGCAATATATTGATGTAAGTCATCACGTTGGATGAAAGCTTCAACTGTTTGGAACTGTTACATGGTCCATAAGAAGGAGCAATCTGTTTGATCGTGTGGGATCTTGGGCCAGAGCCAAAGAGCACGTGACGCTGTTAGTTGTAACCTTGAAACAGAGTAGAAATGACCTTTTACAGCTATACTATCGATGTTATTATGAAATGCTTGCCCCTGTCATGATCATGTATATTGTAGAACAAATTTTGTTGGAAAATCTTACGTGAAATTGAAAATAAACACCACTGTCATCAAGGCTGCAGCAAGAAATGTCGGGGCCCATCTGAAGCCAGCCAAAGGATTTGCTTTGTAAACGCCTTTCTAATTATCTTTACCCATTTTAACAAAACCACTCGTACTTGTCACCCATAAAGTAGACCCAAGTTCAGCTTGATTCAAACACGCCATTTGAATAATTCATTTCGTATTTAGATATGTATATATATATATATATATATATATTCATCATATGCACTTTTATGTATTTCATACTTCAAAAAGCAAAAATAATTCGTGTTGTTTTATGAAGATTTACAGATTAAATTCCTGCTCTTATATCCAAAACAACAGAATACACAAGCCTCCTTGTCACTGAAAACATTTCGCATTGCCTATTACTAATAACTCATTTTACCGCGGTTTTTATATGCACTTCCAAACTATGTGTTTGGTAACAACATGGCTGTGAATGTGCGATTTTTCCTAACATTAAACATTCAGGCACAGCAGTAAACTTGTTTTTTCTTTAACATTTCGTAGTATACCGCAAAAAAATATTGCAATCATATGTCTGAATAATAAAACAAAACTCTTGCCTGTATAATTGTACCTTATCCTAGTCCTTTGTTGACTCCCTAAGCTTGTCAGCAGCACACACGCATCTGTATTTCTCCCCCCCCCCAGTGACTCAACGGTAAGTTGAAAGGCTTATAACGCCAAAAATCGGGTTTCGATACCCGTGGTGGGCACAGCCTAGATAGCCCATTCAGTAGTTTTGCACTTAACAACAAACAAATGAAACCTTTTTCATTCCCGAAATCTTGAATTACTGTCTCGGATATAAGGAAACGTTTAATGTGTGACTTGAATGCATATAAAATCGTTGTGTAGAGTAAGAAAATATTTCAAAAATTATAAGGATAAGTGTTTTGTCAATATGATTTTAAGAAGAAAAAAGTCCGTTTACAAGTTATAGGGTACTTTAAAATATCAATTCCAGAACGTTAGGTTTGTGAATTACTGTGGAAAATTATAAATAATACGCTTGCGTTTGTTTGTCCGGAACATTTCTCGACCCAACGCTACAACTCTCATATCGTTAGAAAGGCCTTTGTCCAAAGAGTCCGGATTGCATATTAGCTTTTTAATTCAGAATCACCTTACCTGATTTTTGCTTAGTCAAACTTTTCAATGTAACGAGTATGGTACACGATGGCACAACGTTGTTGTCATCACGTAACGATTGGCTTCGATTTAAACTTTAGTTTTTAGTTGCAAAGTATTTCACACAAACAACGTTTAACCCAAGTATAATTTCCTAAAAAATTAACATTACACTAAATACGATTCTAAACTTTCTCGACAGTTCGCAGTTCGTTCAAAACCGTATACTTATCACTTTGTGACAACGCATTCAGACGTTTCTGCATATCCAGCTAAGTTTGCCATCATTACAACCTTACATTTACTTTACTTTGTAATAATTTAGCTTCGTTTTGTTTCTTAGACTGCTATAAACATCCTTTAGCCAATTTTCTTTAGTACATGTTTTATTCTTCGTTTTTGTTAGTTTCTTTGTTTCAACTTGAAAAACCGTGTCATACACTGAACGCTAATAACTGTTTCATACTCTGTACAGTATTGTAAATACCATTACTGTACTTTGTTTACTTTACTTGTAGTTTTATTAAATAAAGTTGCATACACGTAATTTTATGACAAAGTTCTGTCTACGTGAGTTTCTTTGGCTGACTACGTAATTTCTTTTTCTAATAGACTAAGATTTATTTATCGATCTGACACGTAATGCCTGTAAGAAAGCGTAGTTTAAATGACGTGAGTGAAATGATAGAATAAGGAAAATTCAAGCGAAGGGCATGAAAACTACTGCAAATGTTTTGCGAGTCGTGACTAGTGTAGAATATTTCATCTACAAAGAAAACGTTTGTTTCAGTTTCTTTCAGGGGTGGGAGTAAGCACGCATGCAGCTCAAGTCTGTTGAAAAAAAGAACTCTCAGCCAAGTGTAATCTGTCAACAAACTCTTACAGAAACGCTATAATAAATCACTTTAAGAATGATTTGTTTTGAAGTTTTTATTTAACATTTGTCGTACTTTCTGTTCTAAAAATGGGGTGCGTGTTGGGCTTATGGCAGAGCTCTGGATTTCGGAGCTGACGAGTCGACTTCGAATCCGTGCGATACCACAAAATATCCACCCTCCCCACTTTAAGTTGTGGATGCATTATAGGAGTGATAGTCAATCCCTTAGCGTGGATGGTATAATGTTGCTGACTGGCAAATAGCCGTAGTACGTGTCATGAAGACAAATTCTTTTCAAATTTATAGTTTTTATATTATTGCAGGATAACTAAAACTAAACTATCTGACTGTGTTACATTATTGCCTTCATCAGTATTGTAACTGTAACTACATGTGTTTATAGCAAGATTGTGTTTTAATCACTTTGTTATCCGGCTTAAAAACTTGTATTTAAAAGCATCTCTACTTTATGCGCTATTATATTAACATTACAAAGAAGAGAAATGATGTTTTACAACGTTCTTCACAATATCATTAGCACTGAGTATCTCTACGTTGAAAAAGTAACCACTTTTAAAATTTAAATTACAAGCATGAAGCAAATGAAGATAATACATTTTTTTTAACTTATTCACATAACAGACAATAGATTTGCTTTTAATTTTTATCAATTCACGCCTATATCATACATTATGAGAAAGAAGAGCAAATGCGGCTAGTCAATTAAAAGTATCCATAACACATAGTATTCACTTTTAAAGTATCTCCATATGGCCAAATTCATAACATGATTAACTGACAGCGAAACAAGATATTTCGGCTATCACGTAAATATATTATTGATTACCGCTATCTTAAGGAAAATATTTCCCTTT